AACGGTCAACAAGCTGGATCTTGGATACGTCTAATATATAATTTCGTGTGAATTTATATACTACGTAATGTAGATTCTTAAATGCGCGCCGAAAGTTTTTCAGACTTACAACGCAAATACTATTATCTAATAAACTACCGTAGTACTATATATATCACGAGTTAAATTGACTAACAATCTAATAATTTTGATGCTCATATAGCATCTTGGACCTTAATAATGTTGAATGACATATTAAAATCTATAAATGACATATTATAAAAATCTATAAATAATTAATTTACATTACGAAAAATATTATCTCGACCGGGAGACGTCCTAAGCTTTTAGACTACCCCCCTTTATCTAATTTTTAGAATTAAATAAATATAGACAGTATTCTACAAATTAGAGTACATTCTAGGAATTAGATAAAGATAAAGATTGAAATAAACCGAGATTAAACACGTTTAATATATTATATTTGGTGAAACTAGGGCTACAAGTCAAATGTAAAAACAGAGTAACAGAAGCGTAAATAAAACTTATTCTAGGAGGCAAAAATTGAGATAACGAAACATAAAAGGATATATATATATCTCTCTTTTATACCCTGATAGCAAAGCCTGCGGAAACAGATTTGGAGCAGAACCTGCTGACAATGTTCGATTACAAATTGACAACAAATTGTAGACAGAGTCTGTATTGTCAGCAAACTCTGTTCGGCTTTTGCTACCAATCTGCTGACATGCTGTCAACGTCTGCTGACAAAAACATGTCAGCAGAGGTTGACAGCAGTTTGGCAGCAGTTTGTTACCCTGATAGCAAAATGATGCCAATTTGCGCGCAAATTGGCGGCAAACTCGATCAGATCTTGACTACAAAACCGTAGCCATCTGCGTCCGCATTTGGCTATATAGATTTGGCGACAACATTTGCTGACATGTTTTGCAGCAGATTGGTGACAAAAACCGAGCAGAGTCTGCCGACATGATCTGACAGCAGATAGGTAGCAAAAACCGAACAGAGTCTGCTGACAATATTTGGTAATACGCAGACTCTGTCTACAATTTGTTGCCTTTCTGCAATCAAAAATTGTCAACAAACTCTGCTCGGCTTTTGCAACCAATCTGCTGCAAAACATGTCACTGTCAGCAAATGTTGTCGCCAAATCCATAGCCAAATGCGGACGCAGATGGCTACGGTTTTGTAATCGGTTTTGCTATCAGGGTATTTTTCTCGTTGTCTCTCAATTTTCGCCTCAACTTAAAAACTTCATTTTTCTATTATTACTGAGAGAAAAGTGTTTCGTATTCATGAGAATTACATGGAAAAATAATTGTAATTATAATCTCCATTTTTATATACAATTATTACTGCTATAATATAATATTAATATAATAATAGTCATATATGTGTATGTGTAGTTCTAAACATTTTACTATAAAATTAAAATAATTTCAAATATTAATATAATAAAATATCAAAATGTAGTAAGTAAAATAATCATTTTTATTCAGTAAATGCAATTAGATTTGTAATAAATATAACTATAATTTTCTTAAATTTACTTAATAGTTAATACTATTAATGTGATAATAATAGATAAAAAAAGTGTTAAGACAAACATAAAGATTTTAAAGCGATGTATGTACGAGATTATATGTGACTGTTATTATTATTAATAGCACAATTGTTTTATATTTGCATTTATTAAAACTATTATAAATAATAGTTATCTTAAAAAGTAACTACAAATTATAGTTAAATTATGATAATTGCAACCATTTTTTCTTACAGTAGGTATATTTGACTAACACTTCAATTTTTATTATTTCCACCAGGGAATCGTCAATTAATATATGCTTCGTGATCAATTAAAAAAGTATTTCTCGATGAATATTTATCAATAAAAACGATTTTAGAAGGATTATACTTCGAACATTCTATTATTCGGTCTGATTAATAATAACTTTATAATTGCAAATAAGTAATTCTTGGTCGCTCTCGACTCGGTCTATAATTAATATATAATATGCTCCAAATATTCTAGCGACTATTAATAATTTAGATATATGTTTATTAAATTTGATAGCCTTACAGCGATATAAATACGCATAATATATACATGTATAAGTGTATAGGTAATCGACGACTTACGATAGCCGTTATCTTTTCGACGGTTGCTCTTGGCGCGACTCCTCGGCCGCGATGCTGAAACTTTATTATTAAGACATGAACTATTCTCTCCCTTTTCATCGTTCGATTGACCGAATATTTCTATCCGATTAGGTTTACCACCATCGTCACTGCTTAAATATTCACTTAAACTGTTTAATTATTCATTTAGAAATACTTTTATGTATTGCTAAATGCAGACACGTGTCAATAGACCTTCGTTTCAGTTGCACTGGTGGGACAATGTACCGTTCCGTTCCGTTAATTATGTATGCGTTAGCGTCACTCGTCGTGATTAGGGATAAACTACCAAGAAAGGAGAACGTATAAACAAGGCTCCCTCATTCGTATAGATAATGCTACGCGACGACGATGTGTACTCTTTGCTTTGCGTTTTTTAGAAATTGAGTCTGCTGCATAGCCTTCTATACGCTAATCTTCTTGCTCTATTAAGCTCCCTTTTTTGGATCTCTACATCAACCGATAAGCGAAATTTACAAATAAAAAATAAAAATCTAGGAAAGTTGTTAACGTGCCAATCTGCTTGAATAGGCGCAATTGCAATTAAAAAGCGCGAGTGCATTTAAAAACCGTTCTTTCTGCAGAGGGTGACTTCGACCAAAGTTTGAATACTTTAATCGGCGATTAATTAATATTCGGCATGCAGCGAAATTTCTAGCTACATCCTTGACAAAAATAAAAATCAAAGGGTAAGTCGAAAGTAAAGGGAAAGTAAAAACGTAATAAAATTTATGGAAAACGAAAATTGAGACCACAAAAAGAAAGTAAACGTTGCTTTTGTTGTTCCAATTTTATTATAGAAGTTTCGTTTATTTTTATTCTTTTACATTCGATTTACACTCTGATTTCCTTTTTCGTAAAAAATAACACATAATTCGTTATCGCTAATTTTTTTCATGCGTCAAACTACAAAACTTTAATCAATAAAAACCGATCAAGATCTATCGTTAATAAGATAAATACATCTTTTTTGATTACGGAACAATAGATTCTGCTTGATTTTGCTATCAAATTATATTAAATATTGGCACTATTTGCTTACAGCAAAACATATCACTTTAATGCGGACACAGTTAATTGATGTCGAATCCTGCATAAAATTGCTGATAAAATTGCTAGTATATACTGATAACAATGATTAAATAAAGGCCGAATGACGGTCAAGCAAGATTTAGGTTGCTACAGTAATGTGTGAATTTTATTTACCACGTAGTAGTTTTCTTTAATCGCGCGCCGAAATATTTTCAGACTTTTTTTACAAACGCAACTCTAAACAACTACCGTAGTAATATCACTAGTTAAATTGACACGCAATCTAACAATATTTGATGCTTATAGCATCTTATTGGATCTTAATAATATGTTGAAAGACATATATTATAAATTTTAACGATTTGTTATTAATTAATGTAAATTAAATTAATAATAAATCAAATTCTGTGAAAAATAAGATTTCGGCCTTTATTTAATCATTGTTTGAATACTAATAAAATAATACTATAACGGTCCTACAATATTGTAATTTTATACTGATAACGTTTTCTTTACCAAGTTATCTTAAATAGCAAAACATAATTATAGCAGTATGCCAACAATCACTATAGCAAATTAAATTATGATTTTAATGTAAATTTCTATTAATTGTGTCCCTTGCACAACTTGCCAACCATAATATGACAATAATATATAGAAATGTAGTAGATATATGGAGTATATTTTAGGTGCTATCAGCGATTTTGCGTCATTTTTATTTTACTTTTTAATATCATTATGATATCACAAAATGCTCATTTTCTGTCACATTTCTATAATTTCTATCATTAGAAAAGCACCAAATTAATCAATATAAATCAGAAAAATAAAAAAATTTTCCGACTTTTTTCAAAAACAGATTTCAGATTTTTCAGATTTTCTGTTTAAAACTTTCATTAAAATTAGTAAAACTGTTCGTTTTGCTGAACTCATGCATATTATTGAAAAAATAGCAGACCATAAATAGCAGATTATAAATAATATAGTTATTATGCTCAGCTGTTGCTAGAGTTCTACTATTTATAACATAATAACATAACACACTGCAGTTTGCAATACATCTGACTATAAATACATCTTGACAAATGATGAATCTTCAATCAAATTAATGGAAGTTTAGATATGTATATTGAAGTCACATCCTCACATGAAATATTCAACTTACACAAACGCCAGCCTTTTTAACATTTTTTTAATTTTGTTTAAGATCTATCTAGAGAGCTATTTATATAAAATTCATTCTTAAATTCACTTTTAAGAACATGGTATATCAAGAACATGTGTATTTCATAAAATAATCGAGCTTTGCGAATACGCAAATAAATTAACATGTATGCGTATTTATAAGGCCTATTCTTTTTAGCTGAACTTTTGCACCAGTTTATCTTTTTTCCTTTCCTCTTCTCCTGGAGAGGAAAGGAAGAAAGATGAACTGGTGCATAAGTTCAATTAAAAAGAACAAACCTATACACTGATATATCAAGAAATAAATAGCAGACATAATCGTGAATCATCCACGCTTTATTTTGCCCGAGAGATTCCAGTAAAATCTGCTCGATACAATTATTTTGTTCTCATTACATCGTATATGTATATATAATACATCTGTTGATCTGTCGAATAATCGCCCCGACCTTCATGGAAATCTCCATTATGTTATCAATCATTTCGAATACTCGCGCGCAGACAGTAGGATCTCATGGAAACGGTCTTCCCACCCTCTTGAAACATAACCAAACATAACCTCTAAAATTGTTCGATCCCGCCATATTTTTTCCTAAATGCGACGGACGATTACACGATTTCGACTGATTTCGACGGTTCTCATAAATTCTCATTGTTTCTCGTTGAACTTGAAAGGTGATTCTTTTGCAGTTTATCAGTCTTATTTCTGATTAATTGAAATGACATCAGCTTTGGAATCTATGGTAGTCGACGAGAAACAGCTTCCTGAGAAGCCGGTAGATAGAGAAAAGGTAAACGCGGCGAGAGAATAACAAGTATTTTCCAGAAATAATTCTCTCGTAAAAATTTAAGTGCTTTTTTAATCGTAAATGCGATAGTATTGCACCTGCTTGCATTTCAGACGTGTCCGCTTCTACTGCGAGTATTCTGCAATAACGGACGTCATCATAATATAATGGAATACAGCAGAGGGAACGTGCCTTCAAATGAGCTACAGATATATACATGGTATTATTATTATTATTTATAAACGGAGAGAGACTATAAGATTCTATCTTGTTATGTGGTCTTATTAATTTAATCAATTTTAAGGTTAAAATCTTCAATGTGCTTTGCTTCTTGTTTCTTAATTTTTACCACTTTTCACTTGTATCTTTTTCCCTTTATCCCATTTTCTTTTGTTACTTGAGATAAAAGTTGACGGAATTTGGAAGAGATAAGCAACACTTAGACAAAAAAACATATGATTGATGAAACTAAACAAAGAATGAAAAAAGTAAGAAATAAAAAGAGCCAGGAAGCAAAGAATATATTATAGTCTTTATATGAGGAGTCATCTCTAATTTTGATAATTTCTCTGTATGAAGGATGGATGCCACTTTGCGAGAAATTACAGGCTTGGTTAAAGAAGTAAATCCGGATGCTCGCAGTAAGGGAACATACTTTGATTTTTCACTAGTGACTCCTGAGTTACGCAACTCTGGTTATCGTATGCGTGAGATTGGTGTTACATGTTCTGGACAGAAAGGCGCAGATGACAACAAAACGCTAGCTCAAGCAAGGTAATATATAAATTTCAATTAGAACAAAATTCTTTGTTTTATAAGCATTTATATATTATCATGTGTGTATTTTGTACAATTACAGATTCACAATAGGAGATTATCTTGATATATCAATAACGCCACCAAATAGGATGATGCAACCAGCAGTTAGACGTGGTGGTTTACGTCAATATTAATATAATAATTTTAGCGTTTAAGTTTCAATAAGAACATTTCTCTTATAAATAAAATATAAAACACGTATCATTACAGATTTCCTAAACTTTTGTATTTATAAATCAGAGCTGTCTAGAATAGATACTTTTAGCTTGAAATTGAAATGTAAAGTTTTCAGTCTATGTCAGTGACTATGTTTAAAGGTATTCTACTGTTAATATTATATTATTATTTATAAATATATTTAACTACATATAAAAATACATGAATTTTATATATAGAGTGTACAAAAATTTCTGATCTTGAACGATAAGCATTTCTGAAAAAAATTATTTGTATAGAAGTTGTAAAGCTTAAAATGATTTACTGATCTTATCAGTTTGATCTTGGGTAGCGCGCCATCAAAGTCAAGGTTAATTTTTTGAAATAAAATCCTATTTTGTATTTTAGAATCTAATAGCTGATGTCAAGAGATTTTTAAAACATTGATAAATCTTTTTAATTAGTACTTTTTGAATTATACGAGACTTTAAAAATTACTGTAAATATACGACCTTAAGGCCGATATTCATAATCGATTCTTATATTTAAGATCGTTTTTAATGCTGTCTTAAGATGTCACGAACTAATCAGAGGCCGATATTCGTAGGATGATATTCATTTAAGGCCGTTTTAAGTAATGTTCTTAGTTGCTAATACGTCATTTTGATTTGGTTCATGATATCTTAACATTGTACCTAAGACGGTCTTAAATAAAGAACAAGTTAACTATAAATGCGGCCCTAAAATAGTTCTTAAATGTAACAATCAATTACGACTGATATTCATAATCGGATCTTATATTTCGTACAATTAAAAAATGACATGAACCAATCAGAAGTTGTATTAGCATCTTAAGGTATTACTTATATGATCTCAAAATAAGAATCGACTGTGAATATCGACCTATGAATATGGATCAATCTAATTGTTTCTACTTTCAACTGCCTTCAGTTTAAACGACTCAGCGCGCCGCGCGTGGCGCGCCTGTCCGATCGTCATAACAATTTCGAGCGCGTTCGATTCTAAACGCGGACGGAGCACGAATTCTCCGCAATAAATCGCGAATTTTACTCGTTAAAAGTGCGTTGACGAAAATCCGCCTGCAATACCGGGGCCCTAGATGCAACTCGTCCACTGAACTTAATGACAAATCTGGCGTAGTGCGTACGTGATAAAACGGACGAGTGCAGTTATATATTTGTCGTGTAACAAAGTGAATTCTACGTCGCATTTTCGCGTATCATGGACAGATTAATCGCAGACTAGAATAGTGAATTTTGTGTTCCTTCGAAAATAAATCATGCAATTGACTTTCGAAGTTTGTCCAATAGCAATTAAATATTCGTTTTTCTTCGGTTCATTATTTCCTCGATGAAGCTGATGCATCTCTGATAAAAGTGAAGTTTGCAATGAATTAACGGAGCAAATTGTAAATCATTCATTACTGGTGAGTAAAATTGAACTGATTGGTAAAAATAATGAAGACGAATAACCTTGACTTTGATGCGTTAATTTTATTATAAGGTTATGACCCAGAATTACTTTGAGAAAGTTTTAACCGGTAGCTAAAAGTATTAATAATTTATTAATATTTTTTAACGTGTTGTTTCTAATAACCTCCGTTTACATTAATTGATGATTTAAATTTGCTGGAAAGTTCAGCCAGTATATTATTACAAAACTAAGAGAATTTTAAATTATTTATTATAATTATTAACATTTATAATAAGACGATATCGATTTGATTATCTGCATTCATGTGTATTCATATTTAAATGTTCAGATTTTTTCAACATCGATAATATGTTTTCTGATTTATACAATAGTTGGTAAAAGAGATTTCTGTTGCGTAGATTTACGCACAAGTTTTTCATTGCCATCAGTAAATAAAATAAGAAAGACATCTTTGAATTAATTGTAGGTAATTATACAAATTTTGATATACCTTCTGAAAGTACAAAATTATTAAGATAAAATCAATAAATTAATTTAAACAGAAACAATAATTGTATTTCAACTTTTTAAAAAATATTTTATACATGATTCAAAATATTTATTCTGCTTCATTTTATTAAAAAGTACATATTACAGTTATTACAATGCCATTATTGATCAGAACATCACACACACATATTCACAAATATATATTTATTTCCTTTATCATTTATATAAATAAAATATGTAAAATATATTTTACAAATTAAAAATTATTTCGAAAGATGTAGTATAAAACAATATTATCGCTAAATATTCCTTTATTTGGTCGAAGTTAATGAAATCTCCTGACAAGATTATGAAGAATAGGTATATTATGTAGCATTCTGATATTGGCTATTTTCACTGATATGTTGAACGAATGAATGTAAAGGGATGTAAAAAGAGAGTGATGACCGTGTATTTGAATCTTGTTTGTAGACGTTGCGTACCCCAACAAAAAATCAGAAAAAGCAGAGTGGAGGGGTTGATATGTCAGATTAAGCATCTGTAACTGACAGCATACGCTTAATTCTCTCAAGAGATTTCGTTTGCTGTAATATTACAACGATACGATATAATAAATGTATTATATGGCTAGAAAATAAAATAATTTCCGAGATAATTTCAAATATGGCCAATTAAAATAAAATTTATAAATTGAATATTATTTTATTAATATCTTTTATTATAATAAATTTTTTAACTATATATTTTATGTAAAATTATTGTCTGATGTAAATGAATATCTACATAATATAACTGTTAGAACGTTTTCAAAGAATAATTAATAAACTGATAAAATTAATGGAATTAATTTGTTAATATGCTGTATGTGTTGTTCAAAGGAAACTACTACATTTATAAAATGTTATAAATACCAAAAATATTTTTTTTCGCATGTATCACGTATATTTATACATAAGTGCACTACAAAAACGTAAATTAGATTTGTTACTATATATTTTTATTATGAAAACTCAAGTTTTTCGCATACAAAAAAAAGTATGATTAATATTACAAAATAGATGCATTTAAGATTTAAGCAAATATAGATCTGATGTCTAACGTTTTAAAAAGGTTGTTTTATTCTACTTTATTTTAAACGACTAAATTGTATTTTGTTTAATATAACAACACTTAATAATTTTTTACTTAGTAATATAATTATGAACTATTGGGGGTTCAAGTTCAACCTGATTCTTCGTTACATATTCGTAAGGAAAGATACGTTTTGTACACATTAGGCAGTTTCTACATCGGTTATTGTTGGCGCTTGTAACGTGGGAGAAGCGCAAAACGGCGGAAAGATTGTGGGGTGGCTTCTTACCGCAATCACCTGCGGCTATTTTAAAGACACTTCCACTTTAATTATACCAAACCGCTCTCGCGATATTACGATATTATGATATTACGAAGCATAAGCCGGGTCCCGGAGATTTAGGGTCGCGGAAAGTTTAAACTGTGCACACCCCAAAAACTCATCCCAGTCCTCCCGTTACGATTTCTCCTCGACCGTTATCTAACTTCGACGATAGCGTTACTACCGCTTTCGTTTTCCAGTATTGCCGGAAAATACCTACCTACCTCTCCCCTGAGTAAATATATAAGCTAAAACGTAAGACGTTACTGCTGGGGCGATAACACGGAATATCTAACGTAGCTGCGCAATATTCTTCTATAATAATATTGTACCTATGCTTTGCTGGATATATAAAGTATACAAACATTTGATTCATTAATCGTAATATATTAGAATTATACCATATCTTCAAATAAAATCCCAGTTTATGTCAAATTGAAGATATTTTATTAGCCTTGCTATATATAATTACGAAAAATATAGCAAATATATAAATTATATCATGTTCCAATTAAATATTATTACTTTATTGTTCATTAATATTATCATTATATTAAGAAGAGAACAGAGTCTAATGTAATATTTATAATCTTTATATCACAAAGCTTGATATTCTTTTTTGACGGATGTACTGCTAATAGCATATTATCACATTAGACTTGCTACTGTAAAATACGCGCTATATGTCGTACAGAAAAATTTTAATGAGAAAGTAAAGTTTAAAGCACTGGGGAGATCTATAGAGACGGTAGAGTGGATTTGGCGTGCATTAAGGGCCGCACCTTCTCTCGAAAATTCGCGGGTGTAATCAGTAATCAAATTTATTAGTTTCTATTGTCTTGGGGGGCGAAATTCTTTTCCGATTTTATGGCGTGGAAAGACGATATAATAAGGAGAGAGCCGCCTCGAGCGAAGCTGCGAGTAACGAGGGAATAAGAATGGCTAGGCGGGGGTGGCTTCGGGGGTGGCTCGGTTTCTCGGCAGGAGGAGGGCAAGATTTACTGGACTCGCTAGTGGCCGCCAAGTTCGTAAGGGATGTCTTCTCGAAAATATTAAAGCGATATAATGTGAGCACGCGAGAACTTAAACGAGCGTTTTAGAGAATGATAAAATTGCTTATTGAATTGTTATTTGAACGAAGAAATTTATTCAGAATTACACATATCTTTTAGTTTCTGTTATTTAATTTTTATTATTCTAAGTAAATTGGAATATTACTTATACTTTTTACCTTACAAAATAGTTATAACATTTTAATAATTTTTATATATATAGTTAGATTTTTTAGATTTACAATATTTTTAAATGTTACATAATAAATTTTTTTTTTTTTATACGTCTTTTTATGTTGCTATTAATAAATTTTTTGTGACAAAACGTATTGTGCGTTTTTGTGTATTCTTATTTTTTATTGCTTTTTTAATTACTTATGACGGAAATGGTTATATAATTATTTACAAGTATTGCTGCTGTAGATAATACTAATAAATGTTTTATCAAATTTAAAGCACATAAGTCCCGACACAATTGTTGAATTCGTTTTATCCATAAAGTTTGTAAGAATATATATTAGGGAAATCGCGCGAGATCAGGGAAGAATGAAGGCAATAACTCAAATGTTCCAGATTTATTAATTTCTGAAAGAGCGTCGGAGCCGCGAACGCGTCAGAATCGATTCGCACCGGTGCGGTGACAAGAAATCTGTTGACTCAGGAGCGCGAGAGGTGGCCGTAATAAAAAT